TGCCAATGGAGTGAACATTAGTTCCTGCAGGGAGGGAGCAAGAAGGGCCTCCTCCTCTTACTGACGCAGAGACCTTTTATACACCATTATAGTGAGCAATTGTCCTAAATTGGATAAGAAGGACTAAGCCCATAAGAGTGATCTGTAACAGGTGGAAGGTGAGGCTCAGTTTCCTGATAGGCAAAATATCCTGGTCGCTGACACAAAATCAAGAAGGAATTCCCAATATGCTATATGTTTCTGCAACAGGAATGCAGCTACATGCTATCTCTGAGCAGAAATGCATCCAAATGACCAAAGGTAACTTGAAAATGCCCTGTGTAGAATTGACTACTTAAAAAACCTACCTACATGGATTGCTCTTACACTACACAATTGAAATGAATATTCCAAATATTCACTCAAATCTGAAATCAAGAAAAATGCTATTCCCAATTTCATTTGTCACATATCCCCAATGTGCAAGTTCAGGTGAAACGGAAGTCAAAAGCAAGCAAACATCTTAAGGGCATGGAAGATCCTGGAAAGCAGGCTATAAAAGAGAAATACGTGAGTCCCAAAGGAAAATCATGTGCTTTTCATGAATTTTACACACACACAAACACACACACACAGAATGCAAAAGCAAAAATATATGCATATTTATACAAGTCATCTTTCTATAGAGTCCCCATAGTCTCATACAGCACACACACCAAGATGCCGTAACTCTCCTGAGATCAGGATGCTAACAATGCATTTTGTGTTTAGTTTCAAAAATCACATTACGTAATGTTTACCCTCTATTTGACACTAAAACTGCGTAAGATGTTCTCAAAATACATCTCTCTATGCAAATTCCAGCTTGCCTTAGGTGCTACTCGCTAAATAAGACATAGTCATGCTTTTGTCGAAAAGCACAAAAAGGTTGTAAAAAAATACAAAAGTTTTTTTTTTTTTCCCCCCCTAGTTATTCAGTATTGCACTACTGTGGAACAGTTATTTGGTAGAAATATGTTATGGTGAAAGATGTTTTCTGGATTGCAAAATGTCCTTATGCTTTCAAGGAAGCTTTTAGAAGGTGTCAGTACAATGCATTCTGATTTGTACCTTAGGGCAATAACCTCTAATGTAATCAAAATAACAAGCTATAAAGGAAATAAGAAATGGAAGGAAATTGTCTTTAGAAATATTCCCAGACTACTGCTATTCCAATTTGCCACCACTGCTAGATTCTGATACATATTACCAGGAGCACTATATAACAGAAAGGAGACATCCAGTGTGTTTGCCTTATGAACCTAAAGCAAAATGGGCTTTTAACTTCTGAAAAAAAAATCAAGGAGAAATCAGCCTATCTTTGGTAATGGAAATAAAGATGGCATATTACTCATATGACCTGAAATTTACCCTTCCTACTATACTCAAGCATAGAGCAATGCTCATTTATCCACTTGAATGACTCTATTTCGAATAACACTGGCATTATGCAAATAACATGAGCAGAGTTTTGTCACAAGAAGCTGGCTACTTAGTGTTCATTGCTTTCATTGCTACTTAGTGGTCTTGGCTAGACTGATATATAAAATGCACTACTGAAATACAGGCTGCAAACACTGAAAATTCTTAAATTGCTGAACGGCTTTGTGAAAAGCTACATCCCCCCCTAAGGAAGAAATCTGTTAATTCAAGTATATCTGGGATAAATGTGGAGGCATCATCATGGCTCCATCACACCACCATTACAAATCCCCGCAAAAAAATATTTCTTCACCACAGACATTTGCAGATAGCAATACTCTGTGTCAGCCAATCCCTCACTGCAAGTATGTAATTTGGGGGGACATCTGGAATTGAAAGAAATGAAGCCCCTGCACTGTAGCTTTCTAACCAGGGAGTTGTGCACATCAAGTTGTGCTGATCAAGGAATGATTGCCAAGAAAAACGAAGAAAAAATGGTCAATGTATGGAAGAAATAGGAAAAACTTTTAACATTGCTAAGCAACAGTAAATCTCAAGATACAGAACCTGTTATGCACACTCATATATATACACTGTCTGTTTAAATGACTACATACTATATTGTTTTCTGTTCCTCTGGGTAAAGGAACGTATTATTGAAAGATCACCTGTCAAAGTGCACGGTTAGAACACGACCACGAGGTGGGAGCATTGCTCATCACACGTACCCAAAGCACGCTGGTTTCTTTGGAGGTGCTAGTAGTCAAGCAAAGACATTCACTGTTTTCCTGTGCTGTAGCCTGTGGACTTGCTTTTTGCCACTAGAATAATAGGTCCCCAGGACTAACACAAAAACATCTTTCTAATTTTCTGTAATTCCTAGCTGAAAAAGAACAGGAGAATAAACTGCACCTTGGCTGCTAGAATGAAGTGTTGCACTGAAAACAATGTAGAAACTTTTCCTAGTAGGAAAAAAACATAAAGAGGAGGTAGAGATAACGTGAAGGTGGAAGGAGGGGAAATAATTTGCTCAGTTATTAACAGCTTTGTCATGTGATCATGAAAAAAACAAAAATCCTGCTGTTTGCAAGCACCATATAGCAGCCTCTCCGCATGAAGGATGCCTGGGCACAGTCTGACCTAAGCTGCAGCGTATCACACAGAGGGGTGCAGGGCTCTAGCTAGCACTAGTGGGTGGTGGACAAAAAGCTATAGCTCTCCCCGGAGTAGAGAAACCTGTGGAAATGTGCACCTGTTTAATGTGAATGCAACCTGTCTGAAAACACAGCAGCGGCTGTGAAACCAAGCACCAGGGCTGACGCGTCAGAGGCCCAGGACGAGCTTGACACACTAACCGCCAGCGAGTGTGACACAGCTATAACCGCCATCTTTCTAACTCTCTGCCTTTCTTTTTCTTTCAACACATGAAAGATCGTGTACCAGCATGTGAGAAAGCATATGTTCGAGTAAATATTTTGGTGCTCTGCAAACAGCCATGCATTATCTGTGGCTAATGTTCCCTTCTCTGCTTCCCTCACATGGCTGCTAAGGAGATTTATTCCAGCATGAGTAATGGAGGGAACAGGTTGCACAGAATTTATCAAAACAAAAATGCCAGACACAGATCCTTCCTTTCCACGGCACATCATTCACAATTTTTCTCCTCATTTTTGTCAATGAGATCATTAGCTATAATGCCTCCCTGCAGTGTCTGAATGAAAAGTATTCATCCTACAAGTTGTCCTCAAGTGTTTTGAGATTTTTATTCACTGTTATCAAGCTGTCCCATGTTATTGGTCTACTCCCTAGTGGGATGAGAAGAACATTTTCTTGCAGGGGAACAAGCAGGCATTAAACAACCAGCAGTATGCAGAAACTAGCTAGGGGTAAAGAAACAAACCCACTGCCTCGCAGCTCGTATCATCACAAAATCTCTCTCTCAGTCCTCCAGTCGGGCTAAATTGTTTCTCCCCTACCCCTCCTCAGGGAATCTAGGCTTTAAAATGAATCCTTGCCCTCAAATTCAGGGGGTTCTGCAACTATCCCCTTGGCAGGACCGCTGCTCCGAAGCTGTCCTAGAAGAGCCCAGGTCTCCCTGCATCCAGCTCCTCCTGCCAGGGCTGTCGCTCTCCCAGCTCATCCGCTCCTAAGCTGTCACTCACTGCAGCTGGGAAAGCAGCCGTTCTGCTCACTAATCCTTCTGGGGCCATTACAGCGATCCGCCCCAGTGCACACACTCATGAACATCTGGAGATTCACGTCGCTCTCTGAATATTTGTGCTTCACTAATAGCATAACGGCAGAAAGAGTCGTGAACGGTGCTTGTTTGAGTCTGTTTTCCTGACAAAAACTTCTCGAGTGTGTAAATAGTATGACCTCCTAACAAAATAATTAAATCTTCCTAAACAATCCTTCCTAAAAGGGCTGTTAAAAACAGTATATACGTGGCCAGAATTAGTACATTCTTCTGGATTAATTGTTCAACCTTCTTTGTTGGGGCATCACATTTTTGTCTCACTTTTCACACTGCTAGAGCAATTAAGTAACTGTTTTAAAGGAAACAATAAACTAGAAAACATGCATTTATTCTAAGCTATAGTATTTACAACAAGGTTGTCTTTCTTAGCCATCAAAACCAAGTACCGTATCATTTTTGCTTAGGCACAGCTATGTTTCAGTGGATTTAACTGTGACACACACACACAAACAGAATGCTAGCTCTCACATATGTTTCCATTTATGTGGCTATCCCACATTTAGGCAATCACTTCTGGAGCAACGCAGGGTCACTTGCTATCTCAGAGCCCCGTGGTGCACAGCTGAGGAGGGGCAAGAGAGTCAACATGCCATAGACCTTAGAGCTGTCCTTTCACTTTGTGAAGCAACTAAAACATCTGTGGACCTTTGTAAGAGGCTCAGGGCTGTTTGAAATTATTCCCAGATGCCCAAGGAACTGCTCTGTGATTTGGGATTATTTGAGACACATCCTTTCTCTGCACTGTCCTTAACATGGCCTCTACACTAATGTGCTTGCTCATGCTTGCTTCCCATACCTCTGGTTCCATAGCGCTTGGCAAATTCCCACTTACACAATTAGTCCAAGAAAGCTTAGTGCTTATATTGGCAGAGTATAAAAAGCAGAGGAACCTTGTACAAGGCCTGTCTTAGCTTTGTTTTGTGCATCCCCCAAGCAATCTGCCCTAACCGAGAGCAGAATTAGGCCCAAAGGAAGTCAGACAGAACCTCACAGTTCTGCATTTCCTATTTAGCAACATTAATAATCCAGAATTTTTCTTGCAGGCACTGCACAAAAATTGATGGGTAAGGAAGACTGCTTACCAACAGAACAACTAAATGTTGCTAAGCATTACACAAAAGAGATGATATTACCCAACACTGTCCCAATGGCTTTTGTCAATTCTAATGACTACTTTTGATAAGTCTGTTTCTAGTTACTGTGGTTTTTTTTTAACCTTTTAGAACAAACTATGGCTGTCTAGAAAACAGTAGATTGCATACAAAAATGGATGAAAAAATGTAATGACATATTAAGTCCTTACCATCTGTTTTATTTGATTCATTTCCCACATTAGGCTGATCTTTCTTGTCCGCGTTATTGTCTTCCTTTAATTCACCTGAAGAAAAGCAGTAAGAAATATTATAAGCATTTTAATGCACAGAATAGTTTATCAATGCCTGTAACTCAATCAAATTAGAACATCAGAAAGATGTGTTCGTTAGGAGAAAGTACATGTACTCACAGAGAAGTGGATTTATATATTACTATAGAATAAAGTAACACATGGTTTACCCAACTTCTACACAGAATCAAGCTTCAAAATCTAATTTAAAATTTATTCTAATTGTTGATAACTTCTTAAGTTCACATGTAAACTCATTCTCCTTCTGGCTGTGTGTAGAAAATTAAAAACCTGGAGCACAATCTTTGTTTCCAAATTAATCTCTGAGACCTCTGTGCATCCAAAGGACTGAGTAAGACCCTCCAAGATTTCATCATAGCTCTTTCTAACAGAGAACCACCTTTGATATCCTAGGTGGTCCTGTATGATTTTGTCTCATTTTTTCTTACTAGTCTTCTTTAACCACAGACTCATTTTGGTTAGTCCCCTGATGAGGGTCTCAGAATAGTCAAGCATCCTACCACTCAGCACCAGTTTTAGAGTTTCTAGGGCTAAACAGGAAAGCAAAGCAGGGCAATACCTGAGGCATAATGAAAATGGCAGTTGGGGTGTATTCTATGAGGACAGGAAGGTTTGTCAGAATCATTCTCAACATTTGTTCATTATTAGCAGGTATTAGTCATACAAGAGCACAGCAGACCTTCCCAGAGCATCACCTACCTCATTGAATAAGAGTCTTGTCAAATTCAACTTACATAAAAAATAACTGAAATGGAGAGACCTCGCTGCAGCTGCAGCAACAAGAGGAGATGTCCTCCCTTTAGATGGCCAGAGCAACAACAAGAGCCTGCAGAGAGGGCAGCAAGCAGCCCTTCCTTCACTCCTGAAGCAACAGCTCTGAATTTGGGACCCTCCCTTCCACCTGAAAGAGCTGTATTGAACATAACTTCAGAATTTTCTAAATGAGAGGTGCATTACATGGCTCCATCAGAGTCATGCTTATTCTAGCTGCATTACTAATTTTGTTACTACAGCTGCTGCATGGCCTTTGGATCAGAATTATAGGTATCAATGTGTCATACAGGATCTCATTTGCTTTCCAGATGGCCATGGCCAAGGAATCAATGGACGTTTTGCGATAGCTCAAAAAACAAACAAGGTCTCCTTCCCCTACATTGTGCCCTAAATTCTGGGATACTTGTTATTCTTGGATGTCAGAGGATTGATCTTTCTCTCTCTCCTAATCAAGTTTCAGCATAGCGTGAAAGAGGAATGGCTTTGAAGTCCCAACATATTTAGCAAGACGGAAAAACATGTCCTGTCCAGTCCTCACTTAGAACCAAAACTTTCATGTTTTTCTTATTAAGCTCACTGGATGGGTGAGAAAAAACTGAAAACATGAAGGCAAAGGACAGCCAGCTACCTCCTCAGCTGAGCACACAGCTACTGACTGTCTCCTTCAGAAAGTCCAATACGGCCAGAGAGGTAGGAGTAGCTCCAAGCTGATTGATGTCTGACTGAGGAAGGTAGCCCATAAGAGAAGGACACTGTCTTCAAGCACTGAAATGAAAAGGTATCTAGCAAAGCACAAAAGTCTTCTCACATTCCTTCCATTATCTGATAATAACGATAACCTAATAATACTTTATTTGACCACTCTGTAAAGAATTTGCTTGAGTGTAACTGTGTGCAGTCACAGATGATGAACACCCACAAGTACATTATTTCATAGCTTGATTCCTCTGAGAAGGCATGTGGGCAGTGACTGAGGGAGATTTCAAACTCCTCTGACGAAACAATTTCTGAACTTTCATTGAGAACTTATTATGAACAGGACGTTTCTAAATATTGCAATATCTACCATGCCATACTGCCAGCAGCAGAGCAGAACGATGATCATAACGATCCTTTTGAAAGGGATTACAAAGGCAGGGAGATAATAAGGCAAATACTTTATGATGAGATATTAACATATAGGTGTAAAGGAAGCTACAGTGAACTCAGATATACGAATGTTATATTTCATCAGTCTCCAAAAACATTGCAGTGACTGTGCCTCATAAAGGCCTTTTCTGATAAATTTAAGAGCAGGATTTCTTTTCCTGAAGAAGACACTAATTTTCAGAAATCATTAAAGTTTCTTACAAAGCATTTTTGACACCTACAGCAGAGACATTTAAAAAAAAAAAGAACAAAAAGAACAAAAAGAGCTCTCAACCTCTACATTATTAGAAGCATGTAAAAAAAAATCTGTGAGGCAAAATCTGGTGGGATTTCACATGTTCCCAAGCTTTTTCTATTCCTGGAAGTTTGTTCCCATTCACCTATGTAACATGGACTGAAGAAAAATCCCATACTTGACAGAAAATGATAGCATGGCCCCTCATAGTCTGTCCAATCTAAAATGACAACAGCAAAGCAATATGTAGTTGTGGGAAAGCCCTGTAGCCAAGTGACATACATGGAAAATATATCAGGAATGTTTAATACAGGAATTCCTGCCCCTGCTGCTGTCAAGGCAGTGATCCCAGTGACTTCTCTGTCAGCTACAATTATTCTACTGACCTTGGCCTGAACTTTGTGACACTCTCAGGACATACTACAGGCCTATGTGTTCACTCAGACTTTTCAAAAAATGACGTCTTTGAGTCTGAGTTTTTTTTGTAGTTTGGGACTGGCTCAAAATTGCCAAGTTTGTGAGAAGTCACAGGTGTCCATACTGCCATTTTTTGGTAATGGCTCAAGAGAGCTTTAGATGAGAAGGGAAGGATAACAACAAGAGCTCCCAAAAGACAACTGTTCTGTTCTCCCGTCTCTACCTTTTTTTTTTTTTTTTTTTGTGACATGCAATTTTCCGATATTTTCCCATCTTTTTCATGTACAAAATGGGACTTTTAAAAAATAGTATTTTTTAGAGCAAGTGAAAATATTGGAATGAAATTTCTGCCAAAAATTCTCCAAAAAAAAGACTCATGATTCCTCTAATAAAAAAGAGACCAAGAGAAGCAGCGATCTATTTCATCTTTTAGGCTTGGATCGTACCTGATTGGTTCATTTTCATGAGAAAACACATTCTGTGTTTTCCTTCAAAAGTGAACCCTGCAGGCAACTTAATTTACAGTTTCCAACTTCCACATGGAGGTGGCTGTACTGACTTCATGGAAAAGGCACTGAACTCAGGATATCTTTTGTCCAGGCAGCCCATTGCCAAGGTGAGATAACTGATTTTAGAGGCAGAATCATCTTGCAGTAGAAGAACAGAACCTACCATTCTGGACATGCTGTTTCTCTTCTCCCATAGCTTGGTGAGAGTCGGCTCCCTTATCTGTTCTAGATGCATTTTTCCCTTGAGAGGCTTCATGTTTGTTCACCCCAATTTGTCGAGTCCCATTTACATGATTCTTATTGGAATCTGAGCTTTTGTTTTCCCCAGGACTTGGTTCTTTGCTATTTTCTGTCTTTGCTGCTGCTCCTGCATCTTCTGCTGGCTTCTTCTCATCTTTTTCTTCTGTTTTCTTTTCCTCTGTTCCCTGGTGAGCATTTTCCTCTGCTTCTTTCTTAGCTTTTTCTTCTGCATCCTCAGCAAAGAGAGAAGCAAAATGAGAAAAGAAATCATGATTTTCAGTAAATTTGACACGAATGTTACTACACATGCATTTAAAACCACTTCAGCCTTTTACACATAAAACAAATTTTACTTAGATACATGTTGAATCTGACTTGGCAAGGGAAAAACAGCACAGAACAATTAAGAAAGGTATTAAAAAAAAAAAAAAGCTTCATGTTGACCTAACTGTATATGATGTGCATGTCCATTTTTCCCACATAAGGTCCACCTTTGCAGATGGGACTCCTCAAAAAATTTTAAAGGAAAATTAAAAAGGGTTTTAGCTATGTCAGATTTTAGGAGAGGGGAAGTTAGCTTCATTTTTGACATTCAAGAATCTGTAGCACCAAATTTAGTTTATCTCATATTGTACTCTATAACTTTGAGCATTTAAAAATTCAAAGTACATTGGTTACTTGAAAGTCCACTTTGTTTCCCTGATTCCAGGTATCTTCCAATGCTGACTTCCCAACTCTTCCTTTGCATTTAATGTTATCCTTTCTTTGTAAAACCATCCTTTCTTGGGAGACTAATATATTGATACTAGTACATTCCATCCCAAAGTATCCCATGGTCACACTCAAATATGCAAAAGTATAAAACCAGAAGTGAACATTAAACAGTAGCGGCATCACTCGGAGAAAATTAAATTTGCAGAGAAGCCAATTTTCCCCATTTAAAATCCTGCTCTTGTTCCTATCCGAACCCTGGGTCCTTATGCAACAGGAAACCCATGGAGGCTGTGATGTATCTTATCCGAAGTGTTGAGAACGCTACATTTCTAGACCAGGTGGGCGGCACAGCCTCAGATGGACTCA